TCTATCTATCTATCTATCTATCTATCTATCTATCTATCTATCTATCTATCTATCTATCTATCTATCTATCTATCTATCTATCTATCTATCTATCTATCTATCTATCTATCTATCTATCTATCTATCTATCTATCTATCTATCTATCTATCTATCTATCTATCTATCTATCTATCTATCTATCTATCTATCTATCTACTTTGCAAGCTGCCCATTCCTTTGCAGAGGGGCTCTGGGTGGTGTACAGGTTCAATATCAAACCATAAAAACAGCATATAAAATTTAAAAGGCAAGGATGAATTAAAATCAGTGTGCAAGTTATTTAAAAGGTGATTGGAGGGCTTTAAGGTCATCACCAACCAACCCTACAGCTACATGCTCCTCTGTGTGGCCCAAGTTTGTTTTTACACCTTTCCAGAGGGCCATGAGATTGGGGAACTAGGCAGAGTTTTCCACAAGGCGGGGGCAGTGGCTGAGAAAACTCTTTCTCTGGAGCCCACCAATCAGAATTATTTAGCTGATTAGGGAACTAGTTCATCTCTGAGGGCAGAGTTTCCCATAAGGCAGGGGCAGTGGCTGAGAAGACTCCTTTCCTGGACCCACCAATCAGAATTCTTTAGCTGACAGGTCAACAACATGCCTGATTGGGTGGGATGGGCTGATGGAATGAGAAGAAGATGGTTCCATAGTTAACGTAGCCCCATCTTGTAAGATAATAACCAATCCCATAAATTTGATCTGGAAGCAAACTGACAAGATTGCCATTGTGCCCTATCCAGACTGGGAACCCTCAATCTAAAGTCAGTGATCTGCAGAAGGGGCACAAATGCACTCCTCTACGATACGTTTAAGTTAATTACATGCTGATCAAAATGACCTCAGAAGGTGAGGTGGTCTCTTACTAAGGACTACCGTGGTTTTCGTAGGCATAGGGATTGTGAAGGGAGACATGACACAACTGAGAAAAATCACAATCTCTCTCTTCATTTCCAGATAACCTGCGCAGAACAAAAAGCAACTATGGGCAATATATTTCTAAAAGATGATGTAAGGAGAGAATTTGATGATTTAAAGAGTCATTTGAATCAAGGCAATATCCCTGAAATGGCAGTTGAATACAGAGGATATTTGAATAAAATGCAAAACCTGCCACTTAATATTGCAGTTGTTGGAAAGGCGGGTGCTGGTAAATCCTCCTTCATTAATGCCTTCCGGGGCATAAATGATGATGATGAGGAAGCAGCCGAGGTTGGTACAGTAGAGGAAAAAACAGTGCCAGAGGCACATCCCCACCCTTCTCTTCCCAATACAACGATATGGGAGCTACCAGAGATCAGAACGTGTACTTCTAATGCAGCTGAATATCTCAAGAAGGTCCAGTTTGAAAGATATGATGTCTTTGTTTTGATTGTCACCGACCGCTTTACTGAAAACGATGCTTTCCTCGCAAAGGAAATACAAAGAAGGAGAAAGAAGTTTTACTTTGTGCGTAGTAAAATCGATATCAGTATTGAAGGTGAAAGGAGGAAAAGGAATTTCAACATGGAGCAAA